CAGAAACCCCAACTGTGTCCCAATTACAGGGTGAAAGCAAGAGTGGTTTTTTTTTTTAAGATTTTCTTTCTTTCTTCTTTTTTTTAGAGAGAGGAGAAGGGAGGAAGAAAGATGGAAAGAAACATCAATATGTGAGAGAAACATCCATGGGTTGCCTCTCACACATCCTCAACTGGGGACCCACAACCCAGGCACATGCCCTGACCAGGGTTCAAACAGGTGACCCTTCGGTTTGCAGGTCAGAACTCAACTCACTGAACCACACCAGCCAGGGCTGTTTTGTGTGTGTGTGTGTGTGTGTGTGTGTGTGTGTGTGTGTGTGTGTGTGGTTTTTTAAAATGAGAAACAGAGGGGAAATAATTACACAAATAGAAGAAAATAATTTCTATCGGTGTTAACGAACTGAGTTACTCTTTTAGCTATACATAGAAAATTACTGATTGTTTCTTCGGAAAGAGTGTGTATAATCATCAGTCCTTGTGGTTACAATGTCTGCTTTGCTGATCATTTTACAAAGAGTTGTTTAGAAGACAATGTTGGTTTGGCCCTGTCCAAAGGTTATTTTGCCAAGTTCAAGTATTCCAGTGGTCCAAGGAGCAAGACATGCAAGCTGTTCAGGTATGGCCTCTCTAGCTTTTTGAAAAATGGCTCCACTAATGTCAATTTTTTCACAAGGTTTTATAAATTTACATGGGGACAAGGGCTCTAAAATAAATAAAACCTAGGTGTGACCGAAAGTCATTCTTTTTTTTTTTAACCTGGTGGCAGATGAGAACTGGGGAATCTTGGAAATTAATTCTTTTTCTCTTTTTCCTGGACTGGACGCTACCTGGTTTGGGCTGAGAAGGGAGGGGAGGAGTGGGGTCGTTATAATTTTGTCTTGCCAGATGATTAGGAAGGTGAAAGATGATCAGGAAGAGTTACCAATCTCTTTTCTAAGTGCTTCCTGCCTCACCAGTTATCCCCAAACCCAACTCACACAGGATGGTGATGGAAGCAATGAAGCAATTTTAAAAATTAAATGGTCAGGTAGATCTTACAAAACACTATAGCATGAAAAGGACAGGAGTGATGCCTTGGTCTGACCCATTCTCACCCTCCATGTTCTTTCCAGACATCTTCTTCTCCTATCTGCATCCCAGTCTATGTCCTATCTTGCTCTCTCAGGAAAAGAGTTACTTTCTGCCTCCTTTCAGACTGGACTTCCTTAGCCTGTGGCCCAATGCAAATAAAATCTTCCCTTGCTTCAGCCTTGTCCTCCTGGGGTGGATGGACTCTGAGAGCCTCCTGAGAGAGGGAGGTGGTAGAGGCTGCTTCCGTAGCCAGTCTGCACATGACCAGGTCCCTCAGAGGAAAAATATCACAGTACAGCAGACATCGGGTTTTCTCCTTGAAGACATCACAGACTAGCCTCACATGAAGAATGTACATTCCCCCCATTAACATTGATTGGACTGTGTTCATTTCAAAACCGTAACCTTCGCTTAATTTTCCTAAGGAGCATTGGACCGCTGCCTGGGCTTGGCTTATGTCATGAGTCACAGTGCCAGCTGTCTGTCATTTCATTTTATTCATTTGGGGTCACCTGTTAGTTGCTTTATTTTAGTCACCTGGGACAGCTTTCAAATGCCCAAAACTCTTGTCCAGTAGAAAGGAGGACAGGAATATGTGTGAGCTTATTCTTCCTGCTTGTGATTTTCTTGCTTCATATACACTTCCTTTCATCATGTGTTCTCAGAAGGCACAGGCAATGAGGTGGAACTAAGGAAACAGTATCAGGCAAGAGTATTTTTCTACTTATTTCTGTCAGGGTCCCGCAGGAAGCAGCTGGTTTACACAGAGGATGCAACTGAAGAGAATTTAATAAAGGAACTATTTACAGAGGGACAAACAGACTTAAGATTCCCCAGCAAGGAAAGGTAGAGACCTGGTACAAGCAAGAGCAGGTAGCCAATACCTCACGGTGGCCTGTGGAGGCAAGGGCTCGTGGTGCTGGGCGCAGGGGAGCTATAGCTGTGGAAGAGGGGACACTGGAAAGTTGTGGCAAAGGGGGCACAACCAGAGCAAAAACCTTGTTCTGGCAAAGAGGCACAATGGGACACACAGGTCGACCTCTCTTTCTTCCTGCGCTGAACAAAGCCGATAGAAAGCCAGTGGGCCAGGAGCCTGCCAGGGCGCAGGACAAGGCAAAGCAAGGTGGAGGGGCAACCAACACGGTCAACATTTGAAAGTTTAAAAAGTAGCCCATTTATCCCACAAAGTAAACCACTATGTACACCTTATTATACTTTACACTAGAACACTGAACTTTGGTGTGCACCAAGAGAGATGCAATGTTACCACATGGAAGAGTAATAGATTGATGGCATGTAGGGCACCTGGTTCCAAATGTCATGACAGGCAGGGTTTGGATTTTCTTTCTCTACCTCTTCACTCCTTATCTCCTTACTCTGCATTCAATGTTTATATCAGGGGTGATGAAAATCTGTGTTAGTAAGTCCATGTTTCCAGAATCATGGGTTTTTGGGAAGGCTCTGTTGTTCAATGCCCTACTCCCACCCCCCTCTACACACACATCAGGATCCCTTAGCATTGCCGACAGGTTGTCTAGTCTGGCTATGTACTTTGGCAACAAATTGTTTACCATCTCTTGAGGGAAACTTTTTAATTGAACGACCCTTTTAAAAAGTTGTTAACATTACAATAATATATAGTGATATTTTTCCCGTTTCAAGGGACAAGTTTCATCAAAGTTAGGTCCTAAAAGGAAACCTCAAGTTGAAGTTCTCTCAGTTTCACTTGTAATTTCCAGGTGAGTCAATACCATCCATACCATCCATACCATCCAAACCGGACTTTCATTAAATGGGGTCCGGATCCCAAAGATCCTTATTCACTGCTGCTGCTGCAGAGCAAAATCAACTCAAGAGCGGAGTGAAGGTGCCGGGTCAGGGGAGTGAAGAAGTTAACCGAGGACATGGGCACAATACTTGTAGAGAAAAGAATAGGGATACATGACCGTTGTTGTTAAAAATTACTAGCTACGGGTCCCCCCAAAAGGGAAAAGCATAAAATTAAACAAAATATTTGCAGCACTCAGGAACCATGAATGTCTGAAAAAAGCAAACTGGAAGATTCAGTGAGTTTCTTTTAATTCCTACAGATCTACTCTTACCTTTCTCTATTCTGCTGTGTGCCCCGGGAGGCTAACCTATTGAACTACCTCAACAGCCCTCTGGTTCCTGATTACGTTGAGCCATTCATACGGGCAGGTGCTTGGAGGGGAGGAGAGTAAGGCTGGAACATTCCCACCTCCCATTCTCTTTTCCTGTGGGGTCGCTGCAGGCCAGCAGCGTCCCTTGACCCCAGGCCTTAGCCCCAGGCAGACTGCCTTCTCTCTGGATTTCAGCAGCCACCTCCCCTTCAGTCCTGGGTGTAGCAATATCCTTGTAGTTTCCCACACCCTGCCCACAACTTTGTAAAAACTAGTCCTGTTTGTTATTAAATTGCCCAATTGGGATGGGCCCTCAGTTTCTTGCCAGGACCCTAACTGACACACTCAGTCCCATTTTTCTCCCAGATAACATTTCCTGAATAACTACTATGTGTCAAGGAGAATAAAATGATAAAGTAGACAGTTAACATCCTCAAGAGGCAGTCTAGGAGGTGGAGACAGCCGCAGGTACAGATGGTTGTATCACATCTTGACAAGTGATAGAGAGGCACTGGATGGAAAAGTGGGGGGAGGTGCGAAATGGGGGCAAAGGCAGACTCAGAGGGGAGCTTTCTGGGTAGAGATAGGGTCAGCAAATTTCGAGGCAGGGACCTCCTAGGGAGTGGTCAGGAGGTAGAAGAGAAGATTACAGCCGGGGATGTGAGGGCCAGTCAGGTTGCGATGAAGGGTTAGAGCCCGGGACTAGGCTGGCCCAGACCACAGAAAGCCTTGTGCCTGGGCGGAAGGGTCCTTCTAATCCACGTGCTTATTCTCTTCCCTTTCCCTCTCCACCAAGGGAAATCTAAACACACGGGGGAAGTCCGCAGCCTCTTACTCTTAGCCATTAACTCTGCCCACTACCAGGGCTTTGCACTCCTACTTTCTTGGCCTAAAACCTGTCTTTTCCATTGAAAATCATCCCCATGCACTTTCCACACATTCTAAGGTCTTTCAAAATGGCAACAAGACAATGTGGTTAACTAGTCCTTGGAGAGGAGCTGCAGGAGACAGCTCGAAGTGAACATTCCTAAATGCCAGCCAGAAGTCCTAAGAGCCAGGGCTCCATTTTCTTTAACAGCAGTAGATAACACCGACACTTTTCTCATCCGTGGAGAAGGGTGATAAGAATATTGGGAAGGAGGGCAGGGACGGAGCTGCACTTCATTAAGGTGAGGCTTTGGTCTACACTGGTTTGGGCAGGTGGGCACTTTTCGGATCTATTTTTATCACACTATATAGCCGAGCCCAGGGTTCAGGAGGTGTCTGTCTTCCCTCTCCAAAGCCAAACTGCTAGCAGTTTCCTTGCGAGGTAGGGCCAAAGTCCATTCCACCCCACAGGTTCTTCCTTGGGGCATTCTTGGCATCAAAGACAGCCAATTCTGTAGGACTGGGGTTCAGAGGTTTCGTTCATTAAAATCACGCACACACAACCCCGCCCATCGGACCCCTCTGGTCAGTCAACAAGGACTGCGCACCACTGCGTTATGCAGCCTCCCACAAATAAGGAAGAGACATGGGAAGAGTTAAAAGAAAGTGGTGGCTATGGAATCATCCGAGCTCTCTCCACTAACTGGATCGGTGGTCGAGCCCTCTGCAAGGTGGGATGCCGAGGGAGCGGGCGGCCACTGCGCCGCTGGAGCTCTCGGCCTCCCAGAGGTCCCTGAGACGGGACGGTTTCCGAGCTGGGGCCAGCTACCCACATCCCCCGCCGGCCGTCAAGAAAGCCCCGCCTCCCGGGCGGAGACTGCTCCCAAAAGTCTACGCCCTCAATCCGCCGAGAGGCCAAATACCCAGAGGCTGCTGCCGCCTCGCCGAGTTCCTGTGGCTGTCGCGACTCGGAGTATGGGACACTGATGGCCATGGATGGCTACAGGGGCTTCCTGGGGCTGCTGGTGTCGGCGCTGCTCGTCGGCTTCCTGTCCGTGATCTTCACCCTCATCTGGGTCCTCCACTACCGAGAGGGGCTCGGCTGGGACGGGAGCCCGCTCGAGTTTAACTGGCACCCGGTGCTGGTGGTCACTGGCTTCGTCTTCATCCAGGGCATCGGTACTGGGCACCTCCTGGGAGGCACGGGGAGGGAGGGAGGCGCTGGCGGGGAGTCCCGGACTGAGTCCTAATTGAGTGGAGCCGACCCCGGCGAACTAGGAAGTGAGGGAGGACGCAGGGTGCGCGGGGGGCCTGGGAGTGGGGTGCGGAGCGCGCCCCAGAGCCTCGGCGGTAAGAGGGAGGAGGGTGGGCTTCGGCCCCATAGAGGAATCGTCTGTGTGACGGGCGACAACAGGCAGAGTCGGGACTGTGGCCGACACGCGCGATCGCGGGAGTGGCGGCGATGGCGCAGGGGGCGCGGGGCTGGCGATGCGCTGCGAGACGCGTCGCGGGAGGCGGCTGGGCGCAGCAGCGCCAGGCTGAGCTGGCCCGGGCGCGCCAGCCCCACTTGGTTAACTCTTTGCAGCGAGTGGCTGGGGCGCCTCGAGGGCGTCCCAGCCACACCCGAACCAGGAGCGAGGCGCCCTGCGGCCCGGCCGAGGCAGCCCACACCCCGGCGAAAATCGAACCCTGCAGACGGAGCCTGCGCAGGCGAGGGCGGGAAGCCTCTCTTTAGGCGAGGCCTTTCGCGGGGCTTACTTCTGGGCTGCAGGTTAGGAGAGCGAGGCAACGGGGGTGGAAATGGAGGTGCGAGAATTTGCTTCTTGTAACACGCTCAGCCCGAGTGAAGGAGCTGGTCAGCTGGAGCCGGGGGAGGGAAGCATCCGCTCTGGTGCTCTGAGTGTTAAACTCTGTCGAGGCCGGGAAACTGCCAGGACTCCCAATGGTGTTTTCGAGGCCCTGCTTGGTCACTGAATTCAGCCTTGAGCCCAACTTGTGTTTGTGGCTGCAGTAGGCAAAGTTCGCCCTCGGGGCTTCCTGCCGGGGTCTGGCCACTAAGTCGGGGTGGAAGATCCTCGCAGGAGTTTGGGGCTGCTTGGCTTCTGCCCAGGATGTCCCGGAGGTCTGCTGCGTTTGCCTTTGGCTCAGGTCCTGCGTTCTCTTGGCTGAGGCTGGAACAGAGGGAGGAAGGGCTCAGTCAATGGCAGTTTCTTTTTTGGACGTACAATTGACATATAACGTTATATTAGTCTTAGGTGTGTAACAGTGATTTGATATATGTTCATATAGCTAAATGATCAGCCCGGTAAGTCAAGTGAGTTATCACCCGCTATCACACATAATTATATATATATATATATATATATATATATATATATATATATATACACACATATATGTGTATATATATATATTTTTTTTTTTCCCCTGTCATGAGAACTTTTAAAATCTACTCTCTTAACAACTTTCTGGTACGTTGTCATTAACTAACGTCACCATGCTGCATATTACATCGCGGGACTTATTTATTTTATAACTTGAAGTTATTTTGTAACTTTTTGACCCCCTTCACCCACTTCACCTGCCTACTCACCCCCTACCCTTCTCTGGCAACCAACAACAAATGGTAGTTTACATTGTCACATAGTGCCTATCATAATGCCCTGACAGTTTCCTTTGGCTTTTGATTGGCTGGAAGACCTTCTAGCTGGGGGTGCAAGTGCCATTTATTTGAAACCACTTTCCAAAAACAAAGTTAAGGGCTTGGCAGAGAAAGTATCTAGAAGAAGGTAGAACATGGTGGATGGGGGTGATGAGGAGTAGAAAAGGTTTGGCAACAGGTACCAGCTGAAACCTCTAGCCTTGCCTCTGAGCAGGCTGCCTTTTCTTCACCGATATTTAACTTTCCACAGACAAGTGAACAAGAAAGTGGCCACCTCGTTCCTACAGAAAAGATTTGTGTTTTTGGTTTAAAACCCCTGCTGCAGCCTTCAGCGGGGGTGGCAGGCGCTCTCCCACTGAGATGTGATGGCTGACAAAGCAGATGCCTGGCTGTGGTCTGCACGCTTCCCTGGTGTGAGACTGGCACTGGGATGTGAGTTATTTCAGTGCATAAGTCCTGATTATTTCTCAATAAACCCGAATGAGAAACACACGCTCAAGTTCCAAGCCCGCTGTCATCAGAAGCACTCTTTCCTTTATGTGGAGCCCTTCACTTTGGCCAAAGCTGTCAACACCTCTGTTTGCTCCAAGCAGTAGGAACAGCCTCTTCCTCTCTTCCAACCAGCTCTTCAGAGCAGTTCCTAATACCAAGAAACTTTCTAGAGGTTGTGGAATATCTTCCCCTCATAACTGAGGCTAAGGGAAACTCAGGTAGTATTAATTGTATCCTGACTTACCAAAGAAGAAACAAAGTCAAAAACAAGTTTCCAAAAACAAGTACTTTCTGTGTGTCCCCTAAATGCATTATTTCATATATATAAAATAAGCTGAGGCACAGAGCAGTCAAGCAACTTACCCATGGAAGTCGTGTGTTTTCCGTGGCCTTATTTTCAAGGTTGATTTCTCTGCTTTTATGGGAATATGCTTATTTTCTGCAAAACATTCTTTTAAGAGAACCAAAGGCTTCATCTAAAATACACTTTGGAACTCTTCATTCACATGAGATTTCATTACAGTTTTCCTAAAAGAATTTCTGGTTCTCTAAAATTTGGACTTTTCTTAATCTGTTATACACATCACTTTGGGTCAAAATGTGTAAGTGGATATTTTGGAAATTTTCATCGGCTGCTTTTATGCAAACCTTGTTTTCTTTAGCCTCAGCTACTCTATTTGTATTAGTTTTGGAATTTTTGTCCTGCCAACATTATCCATCCTGTTTATTCTTTAGCTTCTAGATATTGCAAAACATTAAACCACAATCTACATTTCATTGACATGAACATAGACTTTTTCATAAATACAGGCACATGCATAGTATTCTCGAGTTCTTAGACATCCAGGCTCGCTTTCCAACAATTGAAGTTTCCTGTGGAGGGACTAGGAATAAATAGTTGACTTTATAGGCCAGGAGAGAAACACTCATGTTACAGACCAGCCGTGTTATAACTGACTTTTCACCTATGGGGCATTGCTTCGGGGAGAAAATTTTTAGGCTATGCTATCAGATCTCTAATAATGGACATGATGTAATTGTGTTTTGTGATACACAAATATTTAGAGGTGAAGAAGGGGAACTAAAGTACATATAGTTATCACTCTAAGTACAAAATGCTTTACGGATGCAATATACAGTACACAGTATTTGAAACCATGTGAGACCAAATATGAGTCCTTTGAAACACCCTTAAATAGTAAGGTCTGAAGCAAGCAAGGCTAGCATAAAATTACAAAGTAAATCTCTCTCCACTTATATTTTGGAAAATATTTGTATTCTAAAATAAACCATGACCAACTATAGAATATCTAAAACCAAAATAAAATTTTAAACTAGGAGGAAGTCTAGTGAACATGAATGAGGAAGAGTTTCAAAGAGAACTTTAGAAGAGGCTTTGTGCTTCTCTAAAAGGAATGTTTCCCATGAAATAGGTATACTGCCAGGAAATCAGAGAAACAAACCTTGAAAAGAAGGCCACAGAAGACTGAAACAAATGAGCGCTCTCAAAGTGGCAGTTGACCTTTTAAAAGGTTCAACAAGGTGGAATGTGTTCTTTAGTAAAAGGTAGAAAATTCAGGTTTATAAATTTAGCAAAAAGAAGTCTCAGCAATTCTATACTCCGTACTTTTCCACTTGTAGAACTCTTTTTTACTGTATAAACTGAAGGAAGATAAATTGAATAGTATAATGATATCAAGTTGGTTTTGTTAAAGAATGTAACTACACTTAAGTGACATTTAAAAGACTAACAAAAAGAAATTAAGAGTAGTTCTTAAAAGGCCAGTTGAGATATCCTATTAATGTATCTAAAAGTGACCACATTTCAAGACCAGCTAAATATATTTGAAAGGGCTCTTGGGTAAAACCTGGCAAAGGAGAAATGGAGAAAGTGCCCCAAATACCTACTCCAAAACTAGCCTGGGGACACAGGTGATAAAACTTTTCAATATTAGGGAAACAAGGGTCTTCACAAAGTATAAAGAAAATTTAAGGCAACCCAACACAAATTTTTTGTTATAAATAAATGCATGTAGATCTATTTATAACATAACTAATAAAAATGTTTTAGACGCGATTATTTTGTTCACTGCTGTATTCCCAGCACCTAGAATGACACCTAGAACTGGTCCGTGGTAGGCCAATAAGTAGTTTTTGAAAGGAGGAGTGATTATTTCTGTACCATCATTAAATAGTTAGCAACAAAATGCAACATTGCGGCCACTCATGGCTGCTTGCGTGATGATATTAGTAGCATCCAAAGCAAAAGTGTCCTCTCTACCCCTCAGTGATTCTCCTGTTGAGCCAGTTTGGAAGCACTGGTTTAGTCAACCTCACAAAAGGATGGGCATCAGATTACATCACATACACATCTTTATTCTAAAGGCCTCAAGCTCACAATGTTACCACTGAATTATAATCTGTGCCTCCTCTGTGTGTCTGCTTAAGGACATCCCTTCATCAGTTCTCCCTTTTTCCTTCTGCATCATTGAGTTTCTCCCCCAGTGGATTATTTCCAACATGTTTTAATTTCTGTCATCTTAAAAACAACCACACGTGTGGCCCCATCTTCCCCCTTTAGCTACTGCCGCAATTCTCTGCTTGCCTCACCGCAGAGCTTGTTGTCAACGCCTGCAGCCTCCTCTTCCTTTCTTCCTGCTCTCCCTCAGATCCACTCTAGTCAGGCTTTCATTCTACTGCTCCACCAAAACCACTCTTCATGTTCTAACCACTGGCCTCCACATTGCTGATTCCAGTGGTCAGTTCTCAGCCCTCATCTTGTTTGACCAGAAGGCAGCATCTGGCACAACTGACCCCTTGCTCCTTCTTGGGAACTTTCTTCATTTGATTTCCAGGACACCCAACTCTCTTGGTTCCTCTCTTCTCACTGGCTACTCCTCTCATTGTCTTTTGATGGTTTCTCCTCGTATCCGTGATTGCTTATGGTTAGAGTATCCAAGGCTCAGGCTTCCGACCACATCTTTCTTGATCCACTCATTCTCGTGGTGATCACATCCAGCCTGGT